ACAAAAGCTTTAAAGGAATTTTAGAAACAGAAGAACGGAGAGAAGCACAGATTTTGGTAGCAGCATTTTTCTCAGGTGTGCTCTGTTTTACTAGCAACAAGCCGAGATTCACGCGGCTTGCTTACGGGAGTCTTCCTGACTCGGCATAAAAAAAAAGCAAAAAACAAAACAGCAAGGTTGTTTTAAGAGACTCTGCTAACGATTGAAAGGTGTGTACGTACAGCTGGAAGTGACAGCTTTTGCTGGATGTCAGCATGGACTGAGGCAGTAAGCTGAAATCACGCATACGCCCGCCATCTTGAAAAAAAGCCAGTTTAAACTGCCTCGGTTTTACAGATCAGACACGTGGCCAGAAAAAGGTAAAGATTTACAGTAAAGTCAGACTTGGATGAGCAAAACCTCTAAAGGTTTACAGTGTGTTTAAAAATATATGTGAGATTGAGAGAGAAAATAAAACGGCAAAGTGGTATATAAATACAAAAGCCGGCATTGTGGTGGCACACGCCGGTAGGATTTCCTCCAGAGGCAGAGGCAGGCAGATTTCCAAAGAGAAACCCTGTCTCAGAGAAAAATAAATAAAAGTAAAAAAAATAAAGTAATAATAGATAAATAAATAAGCCACGTAAAGATGAAAAATACACAGAGAGTCTGGATACTGCACGCTATTATGTTTTTCAGATTTTTGCTTGCTCAGGAAGGAACTGCTACTAAAGTACACTTGATTATAAATGCTGCTAAATTAATCCAACTTCTACCTTTTAAAAATGCCTTGACTTCAAAATTTAAGTATAAGATTATGTTACTTGGGAAAGGAGATTTTACTTATGTTTCTACAGAAAATGAAAAGCTGAGGATTCCTTCCAGGCTTCTGTGGTTTGACGAACCAAGACCCCCGGAAGCAGTGGACCAGGTTTTCCAACAACTGAAACAGCTAAGATGATGCAGTCTTACAGACCACAAAAATAAGGACTTATACAGGTTTCTGAGTTTTGTCATGATCCCCATGGTATAAACAGTGCCCCCTTCCAGCATGAAGCAGTTTGGAATGAGCGACGTCCTAATTCCCATCTTGTTTATAAATCTTTGTTTTCATTTAAATGGGGTTGCTTATAATTGGCTAATGATCACAGCCAATCTCCTTTTAATGGTAAAAAGGGGAATTATGGTATGGGTATGGTTTTTCAGTTATTGATATAAATTCAAGGTCAATTTTGTGATATGTATATTTCTCCTCTTGATTAAGTATTGTGCTTATACTGATCTTTTAAAATGTAATGCATAATTAAATACAGACTATAGATAGTTACTTATAATTTATAGTTAGGTAAGTTAGGTTTTCTAAATATACAGAAATATATTTGAGATAGATATACAGTCTTCAAACCTCTCAAAGACCTTCAGAAAAATGGCATTTAAAATGGTTTAGGGTTTTTCTTGACAATGAGAAATGTCTGCTCCTGATAGCACCAATTACGTCTGAGATGGGCATCGAAGAAACTCATTATGGAGTTTACTTTCAACATGATAAGATTAGCTATTTGGGCAAGAAACTGCTCTTGCATAGACTGTTTGACTGTTGCTATATAAACTGAACATGCAGAACCCACAGAAAAGTGACTGCTGAACTCAGTCTTACAGGGTTCCTGCTTCATGGAAGAGTCTACCAGACTTTCTGCAGGACACAGAAAAATGACTGACAGACTGCCAATGCAGATGGACAGTTTGAAATTTCCTGCTTTGCTAAGAAGTGTTCCAGACACATTGTGGCCTATGGGCTGAAGATGGATGCCCCAACGTTACAGAGGAACTTCGGGTGACTGTCCAGGCAGTAAGATGGCTCTATCAATCCTAATGTTTATATATTATCCTTCTGTGGTCTTTGATGGAGTTGAAGACAGATAGTTATAATTATAGTTTTCCTTAGTTATGATAAAAGATAAGCTACATATAGGACTTTGGACTCACAAGGATGGGATGGATGATATTTTCTTTAGATCTTGCTAAATGTTAATAGACAAAATGTTGTAACTGTGTTCTTACTTGATAACTGTTCTGTCATATACAATTTGACTGTGTTAAAGTTAAGACCATTTTTTTGTTTAAACAGAAAAGAGGAGATGTTGGGGAAATCCTGTGTATATGTCAATAAATTACTGCTGGCCAATAGGAATCTAGATAGGTGGGGCTAGGAGTCCAGGAGGATTCTGGGAAGGAGAAACCCAAGAGAGTTCGAGATGTAACACCATGGGGTAGGAGCCCGGAACTATTCTCCGGTAAGAGAAATACTTAGATTAACAATTATGGAGTAATTACTTAAGTCAGAGCAAGCCAGTAAGAAACAAGCAAAGGCCAACAGCTTCATAATTAATATAGCCTCCTGTATGTTTATTTGGGACTGATGCGGATCTGGAACCAAGCTGGCAGGAAGGCTTCTCTCAAAGAAAAAGCTTCTCTTAACAGGGTGGGAAGCACACACATTCCTGTAAGTAACCCCTCACCCACGTTCTGTCAGAAAGCCCAGTAAACTCACTGGTGCCCAGTGTGAACTTTGGTGACATGGTTTGTCGTTGGGACCTAAGGGAGGCAGGAAGGTGTTATTTATATCTTCCCAGGGAAGGAATTTTAGCAACCCACGTGACTAGGTAGCCTCAGGGGCTTCAATATTGCCAGCTGCCTGTGGAGCCAGAGCTATCACTCTCAACCTGAGGGTCAAACGGCCGTCAGAAAACACAGATATTTACATTATGATTCATAACAGTTGTGAAATTACAATTATGAAGAAACGACGAGATAATTCTGTGGTTGGGCTCACCACCACATGAGGAGCTGTATTAAACGGTCCAGGGTTAGGAAGGTGAAGCCACTGGTCTGGATCTTCATTCTTCTTTGCTTGCTTCTTTCTGGTGTTGGGGATGGAACCTGGGCCTCTGGTTTATCTGGGCAAGTGTTGGACCCCACTGAACCGCAGTTCCAACTCCAGCTCTGTTGTACTAGGGAAAGCTGCTTTTGACACCTTGGCACGGGACCTCCTTAGACAGGAGCACCGAAAGGCATAGACCCTGCTGGTGTAGATGAGATGGTTTGTTGCTCCAGAAAAAGGGGGCATGAAGAATGGTCTTGTTTCTCTCTCTCTCTCTCTCTCTCTCTCTCTCTCTCTCTCTCTCTCTCTCTCTCTCTCTCTCTCTCCCCCATCTGACAAAGTTCACTTCCTACTCCCTACAGGCCTAAAATCTTCTCAGTCATTTTTCTTGTCTGCTTGTTTTTGGTTTTATGTTGCTGTGAAGCCAAGGCTGCCCCAGTGTGCAGAGTGCTGGACTCACAGGTGTAAACTGCCACGCCCAGTCCTTCTGTGCAGTTCCTTACTCTTCTGTTTTAATGTCCTCATTGCTGCACATCAAATGGGGGTGTCCTTGCACATGGCCCGGGTACCTGCTCTGACACTGAGCTACACGTAAGCCCTCTTCGTGGTTCTAAAGCACACAAAGCATTGGAATATTAAAGATTTTTTTTCATAAGATGGCACCAGAATCAGATTTACTACCAATCAGACAGTAATCTGTGGGATGGTAGCTATGGTTTATCAACCCCATTTTATTTACACCACATACGTGTTTGATCAAATGTGTTGGTTGAAATACATTAATATGAATGTAGTAAAACCTGAGGGCATTAGATAGCACATGGCCTGTATGCCTGTTTATGTACTAAAACTGGGAAAATCCTAACTCTTGAGTGAGGTCTATGAGCTGGTATTGGAACCTGACAAAATGATAATCCAGTTGAGGTCAAAATAGGTCCTCCAGAATCAAGGGTTAGTTCTAAAGCTTGTACTGGCAAGGAGGAAAAAAGCATCCTGTACTTCCTGCTCTGGGCACAATAAATACCTAATGGGGAACACCTCACATCTAGCCTCCTGTGTGTTGGGTCTACAAAACTAAATCCCTAGTCTTTTGTAATGAGCATTCTTCCCACCAGCCTGGTCCCAGAGCCACATCAACCCCAAAAAACACACAGAGACTCTATTAGTTACAATGCTGTTGGCCAATGTCCAGGGCTTCTCATTGGCTAGTTCTGTCTTAAGTATTAACCCATGGAGCTGGAGAGATGGCTCAGAGGTTAAGAGCACTGGCTGCTCTTCCAGAGGTCCTGAGTTCAATTCCCAGCAACCACATGGTGGCTCACAACCATCTGTAATGAAATCTGGTGCTTTCTTCTGGCCTGCAGGTGTACATGGAGGCATAGTGTTGTATACATAATAAATAAATAAAAGCATTAACCCATAATTACTAATATATATATATATATATATTTCTATAAGGTCTTATCTTACGGAGGATGCCAGCCTCATGCATCCTCTCCTCCCAGGATCACATGTCAACTCTCTACTCTTGTCTACATTTCCCAGACTCCTCCTTGACTCCTAGTCCCACCTATCTTGCTTTCCTATTGGCCAACAGTGCTATATTTATCCACCAATAAGACAAACATATACACAGAAGGACATCCCCCATCAGTCTTTCATATCTTTTGGTGGCCAAAAGCAAAATGTTCATTTGTGTTGTGTATGTCTACGTACACATGCATAATACATATATACATGCAAATGCACATTATGTATTTATGATGAAAGACTAGAGCCTTTGGAAATCAAACCTAGTTAGTGCATGGTTCAGGAGGGCAAATCTAGCAAAAGGAAGACAGGGAGAAGTAGGAAGAAACCTAAGCACATTGGACCAGCAGCCATGGGAGAGCCTCCTTGGCTCAAAGCTGGCTCACCTCATAGAGATGGATGACCAAGTAGCAGCCCCAAAGACCTTGTCACACAGAAGGCTGAGGGCAGGGCTAAAGCCCACTTTATCTTTTTTAAAAAACGACGTTGAAGAGGGACTATTGGCTGAAGTTTTCCAATGAAGGCATTTTCATTCACTACATCAGTGAAGGTCATAGAACAGGGACAGATTTGCTTGCAGGAGGCCTCCATTTGGAACAAAAACAACAGAGGGAGCACAGACATGAGGAGTGGGAAATTTGCTGGATTCCATGACTGTAAAGAACACGTTACGTCTTGCCAAATGGAAGAGTGGGAGACCTGGGTGGCGGGGAGTGGGGACAGCAGAGTGCTGAGCTGAAAAAGGAAAAGCCACGGTGGACAGGGGAGATTGATGCAATAAACACTTATCCCCGCTTTATAGATTGGAGCGATCTACAGAGCCTGAGAGAAATGAAATCAGCTGGACTATTTCACAAATGAAAGCAAGAAGGGGGGAGGGGACCAACAGGAGAGCAGAGGACAGCTCAGAACCGGCAAAGCCAGCAGCACCCACACCAAGGGTCAGTCCCCAGTCTGGAGCTGTTTCCACGGTAAATGTTCTCTACTGGCTACTTCCTTCATTTTATGAAAACCAGATCTGGCTACCAATTGCTGGCAGCTGTCGCTGTGTGTGAAATCCCAGACACGGGGCCTGAAGCTCTTCATGGCCAGTGGTGCCTGAAGGAGACAGGGTCACAGATGAGGGTTTCCTCACACCCTGGGAGGGAAGGGCCAAGCCCACAGCACTTTGTGTGTGTGTGTGTGTGTGTGTGTGTGTGTGTGTGTGTGTGTGTGTGTGTGTTTTGGTAGAGAGGACAGCTTGCCCTGGTTTCTAAATGGTACTTATTATTTTCACAATCAGCATTCATTGTTGTTTCTCAATGGCAGCACAGGCAATTGGGAATAAAGATTAAAGAGAAACAAGGTCTGTCAGTGTGGCCAGAAATCGGCAGGTCGTGCCACCGAAAAAGTATGCAAGGTTCCATGAAAATTCAGCTTCCGTTTGCTTTAAAGCTTGGTTTGGTTTCAAGGTAAATTTCAGGTAAGGCCACAGCTTGCCTAGGGAAGATACCACATTTACAAAAAATAAAAATTAGAGAGCCGAGGATGGGCATGAAGGTCCCACATCTACAATCCCAGCGTCCAGAGGTTGGGACAGGAGAAGAAGACTCTGAGGACAGCCCAGGCCACATGGTGATTATGAAGCCAGTTTGCTATCCAGAGAAAGACCCTGTCTGGAAGAGAGAGAGACATTTGAGAGGGAAGAAGCTACATCACTTTGGGGTAACAATCAATGAAATAGTGCCTGTGTGCTTACTCCGAGCAAGACAGAAGACGGGGCTGGTCCTCGCCCTTCACACATGCGCTGTTTGTCACCACACTCTTTCCTAAGTAGACATGCTGCCTGGTAAACAGGGAGACAATGGGTCTTCTGAGATACAGCGCATCCTTCCCATTTGGGAAGATTCCTACAATCCTTTCCCCGGATATTTTAGATGTACTAGTCTCAACAGGTACCCTGTATTTCACTTAAAGTACTTTCACAGTGGCAAGAGCCTAGCTGCTGTGTTATATCAGAAATGGGGAGCTATTATAATTTGCTCCCAAAAGGCACTGTCTGCATCTTAGAATACACTTCCCACTAGCTAAAAAGGGTCTTGGAAGTGTCTCAGATGCTAATTCAAACCCTCCCCTACCGCAAGGGTGAACGCCTACTGTTCTGGGAGAAACTTCACCTAGGTGTCCCGCTGAATCCCATGGTGAATGAGTCTCCCAAGAACTTGAGAAATGACTTGAAAACAGTCATGTAGAAAGTGCCAGCCATGGTCCAAAAGAGACGGGATCACTTTCTGCTTCAGAAATTGTAAGCCATACGTGAAGGACATTCAGTAGCACTTCTTCCAAAAGCTTTCCCCACAGACCATAGCTCCAGTTTACATCAAAGGAATTCTATCCCCCAAGTGCAGCCAGGAGGAAGCACATCCGTGGCACACAGCGAGGAAGATGCAGCTCACCCTCCGGAAGGCGAGCGCTGCTCTGTGCAGCCATCCAATGTCACAGTCACCAGAGCGCTGTGACCGCACTCACTTGCTCTCTCGCTATGGCAGGATGTTTCTTTGTTCGTGGCATTGAGCCCAGCTGTGGTCCAGCCTCCAGCTGCTGCCAGGCATTTAGGAAAAAAGGGAGCCATTGTGCCCAACAGGATGCACACCTGTCCCGGCAGCCCAAACACAGGTTGCTTCCTCTGCCTGTGTGTGGGTCAACAACATCCTCAAGAATGTCAAAGTGCTTTGTATCTTAAAAGATCCATGTGAACAGCTGTGCTGAGGTATCTAATTGTAATCTCATTCGGTAAGTATTCCCCGAGTGGCTGGCTTGTATGCAGTGGTGCCATTTACTATTAGCTATTGTTGGTAAACCTTAGGCCAGAGCCCAGGCATGTTGCCTATGGCTTCTGCCGTGTCTCATACCCCTGACGTCTGGGCGGGCAGTGACTGTCTGTTTTGTCTGTTTTAATACCTTCTGTTCAACTCAATAAGCAAATACTCATCACTCCACAGAGGCCAGTTGGCTAGGAAGGCATTTTCTCAAACTGGCCTAGTAGGAGTTGAGAGTGAAGGGGTGGCAGGAGGGAAGGGAGTTATTTCCTCAAAGCCAGGAAATAAAGCTAGCATTGTGGTCCACACCCTGAGCTCAGGAGGAGACAAGTTCAAGGCTAGCTGGAGCTTCCCAGCGAGTCCCAGCCTGCTCCTACACGAGCTCATACACACTGAAAGCCAAAAAATACATTGCATAAGAGCGAAGCCAGGAAAGCCTGGACTCGGGGGCGTCCTTCCTCAGAATGAAGTCTGGCCCCAACTGCTTTAGGCGAGGAAGTTTTCCATCTGAAGTAAAATTAGCTTCTTGGGATAAAAATGCTTTATTCCCAGTGTCGTGTTACATGGTCGTAAAACAATGATCTAAAATGTTTCCAGGGTAAGAAGCCCTTGGCCTGCTCTCACTGGGCAGCTTACTGGAATTAATGGAGGCTCTGCAGGGTGGGTGAGAGGCTTCGCTTCCGTCCCATTTTCTCTTGGTAATACTGATGAGCTCTCAACTAGAGGGCTGCTGGGCATATCCAGCTGTGCTGGGCATATCCAGCTGTGCTCTTGCAGCCTTGGTGCGAGGTAGAAGAGCAAGATTATTTTTAAATTTTTACAATAATTTGCCTTCTGTGAACATACTAATGGGAAAAGCACATTTCAGATCTACTGAGAAGGACAGTAAGTGGTCTCAGACGATCCCAAGATTTCTCTTGCCCCTAGGTAAAAATCTTTTCTCAGCAAGTTGGAGTGTATTATCCTGTCTGCCTGAGAATCTGCCAGGCAGATTCAATAGCAGTCCCTGATAGAAACATCAGATTTCCCACCTAAGATGCAAATGGAAAAGCACAAGACCTGAATTCGCTTGTGCCGGCCTTTCCCCCTTCCCTGATAACATTTAAATAAAGACCCCATTTGTTTCTTTAGCTCTGGCTTCTGGCAGCCGTCACTTAAATGGAAAGAGTCGCACGGCAATTATTAACTTTGCATGGGATCAACTCAGCATTCATTTGAGATGCAGCTACATGAAAACAGACTGTGTTCATTTCATCCCTCTGGGGTTGCTTGGCAACAAGGCCTTGTTCCAGACCACATCTCTTCTTGGCCTAGCGTGATCTCTTTGGGGTGTCATTCGAGCTAAGGCTATCATCACCCTATTGCTGCTGCTTTCGCATGTCTACCCCAATGCTTGGGGCTGAGGTCTGTGTAAGACCTGGCTGTGTCAGTACAGAGAATAACCTGTGTCTGGAGAATGTGGAATTTGTGCAATTTGGATTAGATAGGAAAGAGAGAGCCTGACAACAATGGAGCTTAGATGGAATAAAATTAAAGTAAAATAGATGTTACTACATTCTTATTTGAAAGTACTTTAAGTGAGTGGTAGACATTGGGCCATGTCCCCAGCAGTATGTTCTTCTAAATAGCCAACGAAGGTCCAGTGTGCACAGGATGCTGGTTTCTGAATGTGTGCAGAAAGGGAATTAAGACGTTTTTTACTGGATGTGGTCGTGCATGTCTTTAATCATAGCACTCAGGAGTCAGAGGAAGACAGATCTCTGCGAGGGCAAGCAAAGTTTGGGCTATGCTGTGTAGTGAGACCCGAGGCTGGGGAGATCAGTTTAGAGCACTTGCTGCTCTGGCAGAGGGCCTGGGTTCAATTCTCAGCTCCCACATGGGGCCTCACAACCATCTGTGACTCCAGGGTGCATGTTTGTGTGTGTGTGTGTGTGTGTGTGTGTGCGCGCGCGTGCTTTTTCAAAACTAAAAGTTAAAAAGGGTATGTTCAGTATTAACAACCCAAACATACTTTGTTTGTTTGTTTGTTTGTTTTCGAGACAGGGTTTCTCTGTATTGTTTCGGAGGCTATCGGTCCAGCCCGGCCTCGAACTCACAGAGATCCGCCTGCCTCTGCCTCCCGAGTGCTGGGATTAAAGGCGTGCACCACCAACGCCCGGCCCCAAACATACTTTGTACAAATTGTCCACTGTTCTTGGTGAAAGAAGTCAGTTGGGCCAGTTTGAGCTTTTTGAGTGACTTGGTAGATGAACATTATGAGCTACAGAAAAAGCCTGAGATTAAGAACATTAGCTTCAATCCACGCCTGCTCCACACAGCTTCAGCTGTGATTCCAAAAACGACAGAAGAAATAATGACAGCCTCCCCAGGGCCCCGGATGTACAACAACCAGCACAAAATCGTCACTCTTCAAATGAGCCTGGCTGTGCCTGTCCGCTCACCGTCCAGCCTGGCTTCGGCCCTGCAGCAGCCATCTCGAATCTCTCTCCTTCAGCTCCTGGAGACTCCTTACACATACGTGTCGCCTCTGGCACATACTTTTTCCTTAAGTTTTATTTGAAAATAATTATACACGCCGGGCGGTGGTGGCGCACGCCTTTAATCCCAGCACTCGGGAGGCAGAGGCAGGCGGATCTCTGTGAGTTCGAGGCCGGGCTGGACCGATAGCCTCCGAAACAATACAGAGAAACTCTGTCTCGTAAAAACCAAAAAAAAAAAAAAAAAAAAAAAAAAAAAAAAGAAAATAATTATACACACACACCTAATTACAAACAAAAATTCTTTGGTCATAATCTACATTCCATCCTGGAATTCTTCAACTTCCCAAAAGACTTTAAGTTTGCATTTATTAAGATTTTCTTAGCCAGGCATGATGGCCCATACCTTTAATTCCAGTACTCAGGGCAGAGGCAGGCAGATTTCTGTGAGTTCAAGGCCAGCCTGATATACACAGAATTCTGGGACAGCCAGGACTGCATAAACAGACCTTGTTTTTTGTGTGTATTTGTTTGTTTTGCTTTATTTAAAAATTTTTTTCTTGGGGGTAGAGAGACAACTCAGTGGGTAAAATGTTTGTTTCAAAGCATGAGGGCATAAGAACCTCATTTTAGGGATTGGAGAGTTGGCTCAGTGGTTAAGCTAGCTGGTCTTCCAGAGGTCCTGAGTTCTATTCCCAGCAACCACATGGTGGCTCACAGCCACCTGTAAAGAGATTTGGTGCCCTCTTCTGGCCTGCAGGGGTACACAATAAAAACAACAATAATAGTAACAATAATAATAAAGGCCCTCATTTCAGAGTCCAGAACTCATGTATGAAGTCTTTCATCCCAGCACTTCTACAGCTCCATGGAAAGAAGAGGCCGGAGACTCTCCAGAGGCTCGTGGGCTGGCTAGCCCAGTGGTTGGGGAGAGTGCTGTGGGAAACAAGAGAAGAGACCGCCTCCAACAAGATGGAAGGTGAGGCCAACACTCGAGACTGACCTCCAACCTCTGCATGTACACCTGCATGAACACACACACCTTTTTGCAAAAAGTACTTTTTGTTTGGTTGGTTTTCGGGACAGGGTTTCTCTCTGGCTTTGGAGCCTGTCTGGAACTCACTCCTGTAGACCAGGCTGGTCTCAAACTCACAGAGATCCGCCTGCCTCTGCCTCCCGAGTGCTGGGACTAAAGGCGTGTGCCACCAATGCCCAGCTCAAAAAGCACTTTTGAAAAAGAGTTTTTACTTGTGATATGAAGTTCCATGGGCCCAGGAAAATGTCTAATGTCAAGTATTCACTGTCACGCAGGCTAGTTTCCTTGCCCTGAAAACATGCCCCAGTTGACCTGCTCAAGCCTCCCCAAGCCCCAGCCTCTGGGAGCACCTCCGCAAACTTTGTCTTCTTGGCATCATACAGAATCTGACTTCTGCACACTGGCTTCCCTCACCTAAGTGAGTGTGTTTAATACTGTGTGTGTTTAATACTCATGCACCTGCTGAACAGTTCTCTTTTTCTGGCAATTTCCACTATGGGTGTCTTTTATGGTTGGTTAAACATTCATAAGGTAAACACAAAAGAAATTACCATCCCCTTATCACTGACCTGTTGTCTTCTAATTAAGCAGAGCACCATTTGTAACTAATTCTCTGGGAAACAAGGGAACCTTTTCTTTCTTACCACTGTCGGGAGTGCGGAGGTCTCAGTAGGTTTCCCTAAACTACAATAGGAAGTGAGTACAGCTTAAGCTGCCCTTCACTTACTTCCTAGATAAACTAACATAGAAAGACAGTGATTTCTCTCAGAAACTTAGAGTGCAGTCTGCATAGTCGTATGACTTTGAGAATAATTTAGTATGTTAACGTCAAGATTAAAACTATGTTCTAAGATTATTATTTTAAATTCAAAGAATTTAAGGCCAAAAGAACCTACAAGCTATGAGGTTGGTTTATCCCTTTTTGGTTTAAACAAATATGTATCACTGTGTTTCACTAAGTAAGGTAAACAACATGAATGTGAGAACTGGTGTTTGCCATGTATCAGGTGACACCCAGAGCAGACAGAGATGTCGTCATTCTAGTTAAACCTTCAACCAACATCTGGACAAGTTGGTCTGCAGCCTCAAAAATGTTTCCTTTTCATGATAACTAGTCTAGTGTTGGCCCAGTCTCTTCATTGTGTTTTATGAATGACAGCTTTGGCGGCCTCCAACAACCGAAGTGAGCATCTCTTACTCAGGAGGTCTCTGCCAACAGTGCCGTCTTGGTCTTTCTGTATGGGAAAGTTTACCACGATCACCACTGTGATGAGCTTTGTCTCGGCTAGACGGAAAACAGGGCTGTCTGAGCAGCGATAGTAACTGTGGCACTTGTCCAACATGTATGCTGGGGGCCCTCCAGGCCTGCACACTAGACACCACCAGGCACCAGAGAGCGTGGGACTCTCGGTAGAAGCAGCCTAAGGACGCCAGCTGGGTCTCTGCCTTTGAACTTCTCTTCCTCTTCCTCCCTGTGCACTGTTTCCGTGAGGTCCACTGGAGTCATGTTCTGCATTGTTCGCTTTTTCCTTGTTACAGAAACCTATGATGTGCGAGCACCAGGATTTATGTATCCATTCTCCTGGTGAAAGGCATTTGGGTTGGTTCTACGTTTTAGCAACTATGGGAGGGGAAGAGTCTTTACAACTCATATGCAGGTGTTTGTGTAAATATATATTTTTGTCAGGAGTGCATTGCTTGGTCATGTTCACACTTGGAAGAAATTACAATCTGCTTTACAGAGCAGCCATGGTACCTGTTACCCTCAGCTCAAGTGACAGTTTTTCTTCATCCTGGCTAGTACTTGGGATTTTCACTAATTCTGTTTTTACTTCATTTTGGAAAGCTACACACATTTTAAAAAGCAATGGAAACCTGATAAATCAATTTGAGTTTTATTTAAGCAAATCTTCATTGAGGGAGGCAAAATAAAGCCAACCATCCTTGTAAGAGAAAAGGCTGGTGTTACCTCACTCTTTGGGGTCTGTCTCTACATCATAGCAGGGGCCAGGGTCAAGGTAAAGCACTCTCCTTGAGGCTAGAAATGAAAAGATGGGAGGAGGGGATCCACGCCAGGGGCCAGAACTTCTCAGTAGGCTCTGCTGCCTGCAGCTCCCACATCCTGCTCAAACCTTCTGGACACCGGCCTTTGGGGGGCTGGGAAACATATTTAAAGTCCAAATTACAGAAAACAACAACACTAGCATCTACTGTACCCTTGCTCCAGGTATACTCTTAGAATGTGGGGAGCCCCTCCTGCTTGTGAAGGATGGGGAGGCCAGCATGTGACATGAAGTCAGTTCCTCCAATGTCCACCTCAGGGCTCGACTAACTTATGAGCAATGGTGTTTGTTGGCTGCACCCCAAGTCCCTAACAGGTACAACTTTGACATGGACCACCCAGGTTGTGGGCGTGGGGGGGCGGGGACGGGGGACACCAGGGGGCCATTGACTGGATCAGTGGGGGCTCAAGCCAGCGGCTTGGAGGAATAGGGAATGGCATTTATTGACTGAGCCTCCAATGAGAAGTTCAGAGTCCACCTGGGTCTCATTAAGAGGTAGGATGAGGCCGGACAACTTCTGCCCACGTGTTCAGAACCAGGGTTGATTTCAAACCTTTAGAAAGTCCCCTTAGCCCTTCCCAGTGGGCTCTGTGACAAAGACCCTGCCCAAAGCTTTTGCCCAAGTTCAGCTCTAGCCTTGTGTTTTCTTGATCTTGGTCCTTTTTTTTTCTCCTCAAGACAGGGTACTCTGTGTTGCTGTGGCTGTCCTGGAACTTTCTGTGTAGACTAGCCTAGCTTCGAATCCACAGAGATCCACCTGCCTCTGCCTCCTGAGGGCAGGGAAAAAAAGGTGTGTGCCACCACCACCAGGCTGATCTTGGTCTACTTTAAATCTAGGGTGGAAAGTTCCATTTGCTGGCTGTCAGTTGTGAATGTGGATAAAATTGGGTTTCTGTACAGTTAACAGGAATAGGTTTCCATCTCAAAGGAACATAAGGGTTTGCTTATATCAAAAGAATTCAACTTAAAAAACAAAAACAAAAGACCAACTCTTTCCACAAAGGTCAGGTTTTTGTTTTGTTTTGTGTTTTTTCTGGAACAGCACAGAACTCTATGCTCCGGACTCCACAAAGTAACCATGCTCTCAGGGAACTTTCTGTCCTCCAGACACCCTTCTCCACCCAGCCCTTCCTGCACGTCACCCCAGGAGGCATCTGTTGTCCTCACTCCAGTTAGACTTTGAAAAAGTATTTATTTACACTGCACCCTACCTTGAAAACGCTTTGAAGAAATTTAATAACTTATTAAGCAGGGCAGCAAAATTGCAGAGTAGGAACAGAAAGGTAGATGGGACCAAGGAGCCTTCTCCTTGAGGAGCACTTCCAGCGCCCAGTCAGAAAGACAGTATCGTGTGGATGGCATCTGCCTTCCCCGTGGGAAGCTGTCACAGTGTCACAGTGTGCACTCCCACGTTCCTTGTCGCTGTCTTGTTTCCCATTACTGAGTTCTCACTGGCTTGCCCACTTAACAAACATTTGAAAAGGGCTTCTCCAGTTGTCTGGCTCTGTGTCGGCTGGACTTTATCAAAAATCCAAGGTGATGTTCTAATCTCCGTGGCACTTGAAGGTGGCGCCCGCGGGAGGGAGAGGGGTGACACAGTATGTGAGGAACCCCTCCTCCTGAGCGAGGGCTGCAAACCAGGAAGAGCCTTTCCAAGGAATTAAAAACCTGGTACGTTCCAGGTGTCAAAACTATGAGCAGCAGATACGTATGGTGTGAGCTACAGAGCTTACGGCACACTATTGTAGCATCCACAGCTAACACAGCAGAACCAAACAAGAACAAACCTACACGAAGTGCTCTTGTTAACAAGGGCTGTCTGAGGGCCTTGCCTCTCCAGTGTACCACATCTGGAGTATAGTGGAGTCTGAAATGCTGGCCTAAGTTGTTGAGTGCTGGGACGCCACAGGCGCCTGTATTTGAATGTTTCAGTCACCAGGGAGTGGGATTGTTTGCTAGGATTAGAAGGAGTAGGAGGTGTGCCCTTGTTGGAGGAAGTGGTGTCATGGGCTCTGGGCTTTGATGTTTCAAAAACCCATGCCAGGCCCAGGTTCTGTCTCTGTCTGTCTGTCTCTACTCTCTTTCCCTCTCCCTCCCTTCTGGCCTGCAGATCAGGATGTCGCTTTCAGCTACTGTTCTAGCACTGAGAATGCTACCATGATCCTCTCCATGATGGCAATAGACTGACCTCTGAAACTGTAAGCCAACCCCCAAATAAATGTGTTTTTGTGTTTTTCAAAATAAGAATCACCTTGGTCATGTTGTCTCCCCATAGCAGTAGAATAATGACCAAGACAGGAGCTGGTACCAGGAATGGAGTGTTGCTGTGTGAGGCCTGACCATGCTGCTTGCTGGCAGAATGTATATTTGTAGTCTTTGGACTAGAAAAGCAGTTGAGTGCTTTCAGTGGGGCTTTAATGGGCCATTCTAGCAGAAGCATGGAAGACAGTGGTGCTGAAATAGGACTGCCTCACTTAAGAAGTTTCAGAGAGGAATAATATTAATGGCCTTTTAGGATATCTTGGTAAAGATTGTGGCTTCTTTCTACCCTTGTCTGAAAAATATGCCTGAAGCTACCTGAAGAATTTTTGGATTAATGGTGTTGGCAGAAAGGATTTCAAGACAGCCTAGCACTGATGGTGCCATGTGATTATTAGTAATCACCCTTAAGAGAACCAGATTTGTTTTACTTATTTAGGAGGGTGGGACACGTGTGCAATGGCATTCCTGTGGAAGTCAGAGGACAACCTGCGGAAGTTGTTGCTTTCCTTCTACCAAGTGGGTCCTGGGGATCGAACCTGTTAGGATTAGTGTCGATCACCTTCACCTGCTAGCCCAGTCCTCACCCTTACGCAGATCTATAATGAAAATGAGAGAGCTGGACAAGGACAAACACCATATATATAAGGACAAACGCCATGTATATAAGGACAAACACCATGTATATAAGGACAAACGCCATGTGTATAAGGACAAACGCCATGTGTATAAGGACAAACGCCATGTGTATAAGGACAAACGCCATGTGTATAAGGACGAACGCCATGTGTATAAGGACAAACACCATGTATATAAGGACAAACGCCATGTATATAAGGACAAACGCCATGTGTATAAGGACAAACACCATGTGTATAAGGACAAACGCCATGTGTATAAGGACAAATGCCATGTGTATAAGGACAAACACCATGTGTATAAGGACAAACGCCATGTGTATAAGGACAAACACCATGTACATAACTGCACAAGGAGCACCGGGAAGTGCAGGTCCTCTGCTCAAGCAGAGAAAAGGTCTAAGGAAAAGCCTGATGCTAGATGGAATAAAGGGAGTGGTGACCTCAGGGCAAGACTCCATGCAGCTAAGCTTCCAGCTTGAGAAAAGGAATTAAAGAAAAGCTTAAATGAAGGCATAGCACCAATTCTAATTGTTCTTTATAATACAAACCCAGACATAGATATTGGGGTTAATTAAAACTGAAGACCAGAGAAGCAAATCAGCAGCCACCAGACAGCTCTCACCTCTATTAATGCTCAGACAGAAAGGGCGATCCTGTCCTCAGACTGCATCTCCAGACTGTGTCTGTCTCCACCAAACCTCAGACTGCACTGAGCTCCTGTCTCCACCCGCCATATATTCCTCTCTAGTGCTGGGATTAAAGGTGAAAGGTATGGGATCCCAAGGGCTGAGATGACCTTTGTGTGAGCTCTGTTTCTCTTTAAACTGGATCAATTTTGTGTAGCTCAAGGTGACCTTGAACTAACAGGGATCTGTCTGCCTCTCTCCTGAGTGCTGGGATTAAAGGTGTGCGCCACCACCACCTGGCCTCTGTGGCTAACTAGTGTACAACTAGATTTGCATTCTGATCTTCAGGTAGGCTTTATTTGTTAGATCCCAAACAAGATATCACCACATGAAGGAAGCTATCAACAACAGAAAGATGATGTAAAGGTAGTTGACAGAGGAGACTGAGTTCCAACCCCATTAAGCAGCAGAACTTGGCAGCTTTGGTCTTGTGATGCTGGCTTTGGAGTCAACAAAACAAGAAAGGCACTGTGGAGTCTCCCCCCAAAGCTAAGGAATGCCTCTGAGACCATGTGTGTGTCAGGGGTGTCTCTAGTGGTTTTGTTTTGCTTTGTTTTTCTATTTAGTGGCCCACCACCCAGCTCCCAAATAAATATATGGAGACTTATTCTTACTTATGAATGCTGGCCTTAGCTTGCCAGTTTTTCTAACTTAAATTATCCTGTTTCTCTTTAACTATGCTTTGCCCCTGGGCTTTTTAATCTTTCTTAATTCTTCCCTTCTTACTTGTGGTTGATTGTGTGGCTGAATGACTGGCCCCTGACATCCTCCTCTCTCCTCTCTTTTCACTACTCTCTTAAGCCTAGATTTCTCTTCCTATTTATTCTCTCTGCCTAGCAGCCCTGACTATTTCTTTCTTCCCTAGCTATTGGTCATTCAGCTCTTTCTTAGACCAATCAGGTGTTTTAAGCAGGCAAAGTAACACAGCTTCACAGAGTTAAACAAATGCAATATAAAAGAATGCAACACATCTTTGCATCATTAAATAAATATTCAACAGCAAAAGAGAATATAACACATCTTAAAATAATATTTCATAACAGGTGTCCCTGCATAGAGGCCTAAAGGAGTCGTTGTGCGAAGCTGTGAAGAAGACTGGATTACCTTGGAGACCCCAAGATGTTGGAGATGCCAGAGTCATGTGATGCCTGCTGAGGTGCTGCTAACAGGGAGTGGAACCAGCCCAAGAGAGAGAAGTGAGTTGCAGTCAACAAAGCTGAAAGGAGTTGGAAATATGAAGAGTACTTTGACATCAAGCATAGAGGTGCTGAATTTGGAGTTTTCCCTGCTGGTTTTAGGTCTTGCTTTGGTCCAATATTTCCTTACTATGCTCCCTTTCCTTCATCTTGTACCATTGTGTGTTAGAAATGTGTGGTCTGCTGTTGAATTTTACAGGGGTTACAGTTAAGACATTGCCATGAGTCTCAGAGACTTTGACCTTTGGACCTTTACACAGTGTTGAGACTGTGAAAGACTTAAGAGGCTTTTTCAGTTGGACTGAATACATTTATGCATTGTGATATGACTAAAGCCTAGCAGAGTCAGGGAGGGAAATGTGGTTTGAATGAGAAGGGCCTCCGTAAATTCATGTATTTGAGTGCTTAGTCACAAGGGAGTGGAACTCTCTAATAGGGTGTGATTGGCTATTCTTGGTTGATGGGAGATGCCATTCTGTAAATCTGTCTAAATCTGTTGTTGAATAAAGCACTGTCGGCCAATAGGGAAGTAAGATAGGAGGGACTAGGAGTCGAGCAGGATTCTGGGAAGGAGAAACACAGGGAGTCATCATGTAGCTGCCATAGGGGTAAGAAGTCCGGACCCTTTTCTCCGGTAAGAGAAATACTTAGATTAACAATTGTGGAGTAAATACTTAAGTCAGAGCTAGCCAGTAATGATGCCAGATGAGCCGAGCATTTTTCCACCGCCGAACTGGAAGCCAGAAAGAGGGCAAGACGTTCTGCTGCTCAGTCTTTCATACCTTCCTCCGTACACGCCCCTAGCCATGCCCAAAAGTGGGCCTGGCTAGTGACGTAGTTCACCGCCTACGTCCTTATACGTCTTTAGTTATGCCTAAAGTGGGTGTGGTTAGTGGTGTGGTAAACCGCCCTTTTATTACCTCATCTGTATGCGCCTCTAATATGCCACTTGGCTAATGGCGGAGTACCAAATTTCACCTACACAGTAAGAAACAAACAAGGCCAACAGCTTCATAATTAATACAGCGTCTTGTGTGTTTTTGGGGACTACAGCATGGCAGAGCCCAGGCGACTGGTGGGGAAAAACCAAAGCGGCTGGCAAGGAAAAGGCTTCACTCAACACTTGGTTGTCTACTTTAAATCCAAAACTGGAGGGCACACCTGTGAGAGCTTATTTTTGCTTGGTTTGAAGTGGGTGAATCCACTTCCAGTCTGAACCTCTGAGGCAGGAACACACACACACCTTTGATCTAGATCTTGAGGAGGGAAGAGACACGTTTAGCCCGGGCCACACGTTCTCCTGGCTGCCAATATAAGGACATGGAAGAAGGAAGCTTTGGCTCTTTGCCTGCTGGCTCTCGCCTTGCGAGCACATCTGTTGTAGGATATTTGTTCACTGTGTGAAGGAAGGTGCATTGCTGTAACTGGTGTAATAAGCTGAATGGCCGATAGCTAGGCGGGAGGTATAGGTGGGATTTCCAGGGAAAGAAAGAAAGAGGAGGAGGAATCTAGGTGTGCGGGAGACACCAGAAGATACACAGAGGAAAAAGGTGCAAGATGGAATCTACCACATGATAGAAGGTAGATTAATAGAAATGGGCCAATTTAAGTTATAAGAGCTAGCTAGGAACAAGCCTAAGCTCTAGGCTGAGCTTTCTTAAGTCCCCATGTCATTATTTGGGAGCTGGCTGGTGGGACAAAGACTCACTGCACACATCCATTCTTTCACTGGCATTCGAGCCTACTTCTTTGGGAATCCAGCATATACTGAAGACCAGCTGAGACATCCAGTCTTGTAGCCTGGGCAGCTATTGGCTCCTTGGACTTTCCATTCACAGCCAGCCTTTGTTAGGTTAGCTGTACTGCAGCTAAATCATTCCAATAGTCTATATGAGAGAGATTCATTCTATAAGTTCTGTTCTCTAGAGAACCCTGACTAATACGTAGGGTTAGAAAGGCTTGGAGCGATGGACTTGAAGGAGGAAGTATGTCACTTGGGGTAGGCTTTGAGATTTCAAAAGCTAAATTAAGCATAATCTCATTCCTCAGCATCTACCTAAGAGGTAAAACTTTGTGTTCATGCAAACACTTATATGAAAATGTATAGTGCCTTTGTTCATCATTGCCTAACACACGCCTTTCAGCTGATAACTTAATAAACAGAAAATAGTATATTCAAACAGTGGAATATTAGATAGCAATAAAGGACCACGCTATTGGTGTATGCAAAAGACTAAGTGAGTGGGGGAGGGGGGGGGGGTGGCGCACACCTTTAATCCCCGCACTCGGGAGGCAGAGGCAGGCAGATCTCTGTGAGTTCAAGACGAGCCCAGTCTACAAGAGCTAGTTCCAGGACAGGCTCCAAAGCTAAACAGGGAAACCCTGTGTCAAAACAACAACAAAAAAACCTAACTGAATATCGAATTATGATAACTGTATGGGTTGAGCTTAACTGCCAATATCTGGAATGAGACATTCTTTGGAAATAAAGTCTTAGTGGGTCAATACTAACAGTTCTTACAGTTACTAAAGGTCTTACCTCGTCAACGTTCTGTTAGTGTAACAGAATACCTTGGAGACTCACTGTAAAGAAGAAGGTTTATTTTGGCTTACAGTGCATAGTCCCGAGGTGGGGCTGCTATTAGGCCTATAGCACGGCATAGGGGCAGGGCCTGCAGAGGAAAAGCTGCCCACTTCCTGGTGACTGGGAAGTAGAAGGGGGGGCACAGAGGTCAAAATATGCCCTTAAGGACAGAGGCCTCTACATAGGCCTATCCCATACAGTTTCTGCTGCCTTCCAGAAACACCATCAGCTGATGAGCCTGTGCCTGTGAGGACGTTTCAGATTCAGATTACAATACAAAGCCATATCGAAATAAAGCATCTGGAGTCCTCGTAAAGCAGTGGTTCTCAACCCTCCAAATGCTGCCACCCTTTAATACAGTTCCTCATGCTGTGGTGACCCCAGCCATAAAATTATTTCCATTGCTACTTCATAACCGTAGTTTTCCTACTGTTATGAATCGTAATCTGATATGCAGGATATCTGACATGTGACCCCCATGGGCTGAGAACCACTGTATAAAGAGACATCCAGGGAGAATACGGTTCGAAGATGGGGGGGAGTTTCAGAGCTCCACCACTGTATGCTAAGGAATGCCAAGGTTGTTAGTGACAATAGAAGCTCAGAGAAAAGACTGTAACATATTCTCCCCGAAACCTTGGAGGGTGTGTCCCTCCCCACAGCCTGATAAGGATGAGGCAACAAATGTCTATTGTTTCAAGGTGTCCAGTTTGTGGTATTTTGTTACAACAGCCCAAGTGAGCTAGAACACTGAATAAAAAGATGCCAGTCACAAAAGGCAGTGGCCTATAAGTGCCACCTCTGAGAGGGTGGCTGGGAAACAAGAAGTGGAGCCTGGTGTCTGGGGCAGGAGGGAAGGACGGCAAGGAGAAAGATTTGGGTCATGATAGCATGCCCCGGGCTGGGCTGTGGTAATGCTGCCGACCGTGCTGGCCATTCAGAAAGCCAGAGCTGGGGCTGGTGCTCACATGATACTAGTGAAAGTTAGTAAATAAATCTCCAAACTTACAAGGGGTGGATTTTTTTATTCTATATAGATTATGCTTCAGTAAGTCTGACCCCTCCCCCAAATCCAATCACTAAAGCCAAAGACACCCTCTTGTACTCTACATCTGTATACAAAGGCAGCGGCCGTCTCCCTGTTTGCTTTATATACCATACCTAAGGGATTATGATGAGTCGTTTGAAGTGAGCTGCAGACATTAGGGCAATTAATCCCTAAGCATTTCAATACACACCTCTTTTTTAATTTTTTAAAAATTTTTTACATTTCAATCCCAGCTCCCCCCTCCTGCCTGTCCTCTCACTCTCCCCTCCTTCCGTACCTCCCATCCCCCCCAGAGATGGTAAGGTCTCTTCTAGGATGTCAACTAAGTCTGTCCCATCATGTCGTTGAGGCAGGACCAAGGCACCCGCTCCCCCCAGCCCATGTCTAGGCTGAGCAAGGTATCTCTCCATAGAGAATGGGCTCCACTAAGTCAGTTTGTGCTTTAGTGTTAGATCTTGGACCCACTGCCAGTGGCCTCATAGACTGCCCAAGCCACACCATTGTCACCTGTATTCAGGGGTCCTAGTTCAGACATATGCTGGTTCCTGAGTTGACAGTACAGAGTCAGTGATCTCTCACTAGCTCAGGTCAGCTGATTCTGTGAGTTTCCCCATCATGGTCTTGACTTCTTTGTTCATATTATTTCTCCTTCCTCACTTGGATTGTACTCTGGGAGGTCAGCCCAATGGTTAGTACAGATCTCTGAATCTGCTTCATCTGTTTCTGGAAGAGGGTTCTAGCTTCTCTGGGGTTGGATTGTAGGCTGGGTATCTTTTGCTTTATGTCTGGTATCCACTTATGAGTGAGTACATACTATATTTGTCTTTCTGGATATAGGTTACCTCACTCAGGATTTTTTTTTTGTTTTCTAGTTCTGTCTATTTGCCTGCAAATTTAAAGATGTCATTATTTCTTACCACTGAGTAGTACTCCATTGTGTAAATGTATCACATTTTCTTTATCCATTCTTCAGTTGAGGGGCATCCAGGTTGTTTCCAAGTTCTGACTATTACGAATAATGCTGCTATGAACATAGATGAGCAAATGTCCTTGTGGTGTGAATGTGCCTCCTTATATGTCCAACAGTGGTATTGCAGAGTCCTGAGGTAGGTTGATTCCTAATTTTCTGAGAAATCACCCTACTGATTTCCAAAGTGTCTGTACAAGTTTGCACTCCCACCAGCAATGGAGGAGTGTTCCCCTTTCTCCACATTCTCTCCCGCATAAGCTGTCACTGGTGTTTTTGATCTTAGCCATTCTGATCAATGTAAGATGGAATTTCAGAATTGTTTTGATTTGCATTTCCCTGATGACTAAGGATGTTGAACATTTCCTTAAGTGCCTTTCAGTCATTAGAGAGTCCTCTATTGAGAATTCTCTGTTTTTAATAGAATTATTTGGTAGTCTTGTGTCTATTCTCTTGAGTTCTTTATATGTTTTGGAGATCAGCCCTCTGTCAAATATGGGGTTGGTGTAGATCTTTTCCCATTCTGTAGGAAGCCGTTTTGTGTTGTTGATCATGTTTGTTGCTTTACAGAAGCTTCTCAGTTTCAGGAGGTCCCATTCATTAACTGTTGTTCTCAGTGTCTGTGCTACTGGTGTTCTATTTAGGAAGTGGTCTCCTATGCCCATGTGTTCAAGGGTACTTTCAAGGGAACACTTTCTCTTACATGCATTTCAGTGTGGATGGATTTATGTGATGTCTTTGATGCATTTGGAATTGAGTTTTGTGCATGGCAATAGACATGGATCTATCTGTAGTCTTCTACATGTCAGCATCCAGTTATGCCAGCACCATTTGTTGAAGATGCTTTCTTTTTTCCATTTTATATTTTCAGTACACGTCTCTTAAGAATAATATTTTTCTTTGTCTCTAAGAAAAGCAACAATAACATCAATTACTTTTTTTGTTGTTTTGTTTTGTTTTTTGT